TCACATCAAGCATAAATGCTATCCCCTCTGTACACAGGGTAGATAGGGATGCACAACTTAGATACTGGCTACCTAAAATGAGGGGGCGATAAAGGTACAAAGTGACTGACTTACAAGGTTTCAAGAGGGAGTTTAGTTTAACAGTGTTGGGGGGAAGAAAGAGTCCCCATTGAGTAGTTTTCATCTTCTCTAGATTAGTATGGTAAAAGAGATGAGGATAAGATTCTTATGATTCAATAGTGGGTAACTGTTATCATGACTAATTGCGACGGTCACAATTTAAAAGTAGAAGTTTTGTAACAAAAATAGGGAGTAGTTAATCTTACAGTCCAGAAACAAAGGACCCTAGGACCATCAAGGGAGAAGAGCACAAGCAGAATGTGGGAATTTATCCATAGAAGCAGCGACACCAGAGATGGAGGTAGAGATGGGGACATGAAGAGAGGGAGCAGCTGAGGACTCTAGATTCACAGGAAGAAAGGGACTAAGAGATGGCGGCCAGTAGGCAGACTTGCAGAATGTGCCTTTTAAAGGTGTAAATTATTATATATGCCTGAGTGTTATTTTATTTGTTTGTTTGTGTGTTTTTAAAAGAGCTAAAGTGAATAGAGAGAAATACTGTTAATTGATGGTATGTGGAGGGGATTATAATAATTGTAATGAAACAAGGTATATGATTTGTTGAATGTAAACTGATGATCTGCCCTGTAAACTTCTACTCAATCCACAACAAAAACCTTAAAAAAGAAAAACAATGATGGGGTAAACACAAGAACAATAGAAAGAAGACAAAATAGACCTATGAAAATAAATTGCTGAAATAGGAAATTAACCATTAAAAATCAAAATATGGTGAGAATAGAAGCAAATTAGATTCTTAGGAAAGACCAAAAGGAGCCAGTCTCTACTAAAACAGGGGGCAGGGAATGATGGTGCTACTTAGCTGTCCCTCTCCAAAATGATTCATTTTATGTTAACTTCACCTCCAAATATTATTTTTTAATTTCTACTGAGATTAATCAAGAAAAAAGATGAACACAATGATATCAGGAATCAAACAGATCTGGTCAACACACAAGCCAAATATAGACTCACAGTTACAGTTGCCATGAAGCCAAACTGTTCTCCATAAGATTTCAATGGCTGGTTTTTCAGAAAACTCTTGGTGGTTTTGAACTGCCTACCTTTCGGATCGTAGTCAGCACTTTACCTGGTGGCTTCAAATACAGCCCTACACTAAAGGAGGAGTGTGGTGACTCAGTAGGATAAGCACTGAACTGCTAACCACAAGGTCGGTGGTTCAAGCCCACCAACAAGATGAGGCTTTCTTCTCCTAATAAGCTGTGTAACCTCAGAAACCCCATACAGGTTTGCTATGAGTTGGAACTGTCTTGACAGCATTTAACAACAACACTGAGGACTGTTGCCTTCCCTGGAACACACAATAACTACATGAAAAGTCCTGGAAGTCATTCCAAGCTTGGTCCAACTACTTATAT